AAAATTTAGATGAAGGAATTTCATTATCGCTTATTAATTTTCAATCGGAAAAATTATTTTTAAATATTTTGCTTATTTTATTAACTGCTCATTTATTGTAAAGGCTATTCTTAGCAAACTGATGAAGTTGGAAATAATGTCAAAGCTCCTTCATTTTTATTTTAGGAAAAAGTTGCTACTGTATGTTCTAGAGTATGAAAGAACTAACCAGTATGATTCCAAAGGAAATGATAAATACTTACAATCGTCAGTATCAATAACTACGAATATAGTCAGAGATAGAAATACAGCACAAATAACAAGCGTACTGTAAAGCAGCCTAGGCCTCAAATGTAATTTATGGATGTACTTTGCGGCCAATAATGATACGATCATCACCGGTACTGCCTTCGCAGTGCTTAGTATAGAGCTGAAATAGATTTGAATTGAAGTCCGATGGAGTGGATCCCAATTCGTGTAGTTTGTGTTGCGAAACTTGTACATCCAATACTGAAAACAGTTACTTCAGTTCATTTTATGGACAACGTTCTAACTTAAAAAGAACAATAAAATATTATTCTGGCCTTGCTTCGTAAAAAGGTGGAATTCAGAAACAAAAAAGCTGTACCAAATTTTCCGACCATATGACTGAAGAAAAAATTGTGGAAGGAATAAAAATGCTAAATGAATGTGAAATTTATAAAAGAGACTGAATATTGATCATACAAAGAGTGTTTCTAATTTTTAGACTTCGTATACAATTCGAAATTGGAATTCAGGTAATTGCAATTTTCAATATAACATAGATTTTTAGTTCCAAAACCAGCATTCTTGCAATGTTTATGGTTAGTAGACTCAACACAAGTGGCGATATGTTTATACTTACATCATTTGCAACGACGAAAAATGTCATTGGTAACATACTGTTAAGTCCATAGAAGAAAAAAAGGATTCGGACGAGAAAGTATTTGTCTTTGGGTGCATTTGAGGTCTCTTTGTCTGGTAGTTTACCCGCATGTTCTTGTGATAGAATGGATGCTAGAATGATATGCTTCGAATCAATGTCTCACTATGGAATTGCCGTTTTAACAGTAAGACCGATATTGATAAATTCCTTATTTCGTTACATATGACTTGCTATACTGCATTTCAGGAATTTTAAATGGAAGAAATAGTATAAGTCATCGTACGTCAGAGGTAACGCGATGTGCCTTCTTTATGTATATACGTGGGGTCTGGCGTACCGGGGCACGCTGGGATAATTGCTAATGATATGGCGGACGTTCTCGCGAAAGCTGGATCAGAGGGCAAGCTTGTTGGTCCTGAGTCAGCCCCACGGGTGCCCGCGCAAAAATTCAGGAGGATAATGGAGAAGTGGTTTGCTAGATACCACTCTTTGAAATGGAGAAGCATCTCTAAACATCTCCCACAGGCACGGTAGCTCATCTTAGTGCCGCGTGTTGAGGATGGACGGTTTTGCGTATCTTTGGATAGTGAAAACCTGCGGTTGTTGGTGGGCCTGCTGTCTGGCCATAACACAATGATGCGTCACCTGCATGTGATGGGGGTGGCTGAGGATTCCATTGTGAGCGCTGCGGGGTAGTCTTCGGCGCCTATTCTGCGCCGCTGTGAGGCTCTGAGATACTACAGGCAGACTATACTGCGGTCCAACACTTTGGCGGAGGATGAGGCTTAGGGGATGCAGTGGTGCAAAGGGCCCGTTAAGAGGCCTATGGGCCGCCTCCTCGTGGTGGCCGGTATGTCTTTGATTTCGTTATTCATTACTCATTCATTCATTCTCATATAAATCAATCTTCTTCTGTTGGAAGGATTTGTCTGATTGTGTAATGTAACTTTTTGTATGGCCGTTTAGAAAAAAGTTCCAAACAAAGGTTATAGATTAGTTATACATTAAATATAAAGTTTTTCTTTCGTGTATGAAATCAGTTTTACTGTGTGGTTCTATTTTTATTCGTCACACAAAAACGTTAACTAGAGTAATGAAAACAAGTGTAAAAAACCATATAACAGGTAACCAAGTAAGTTCGTGCGGTTTCTGTATATCTCAGATTGCCATGGATGTTGTTGATCAATAGCGATTGTTTGTTACCTGTTGTCACTTTAGGATAAATCCTTCTTTTCTCACACACACAAAAAAAGTTGCTGAAAAGTGTTACAAAAAATTTTCTTCGGGAGATCTCAGTTTGAGCGATGAACCGCTCTCAGGGAGACCAAAAATCGCGAACAACGAGGATCTTCGACAGGTTGTGTTCAGAGTGAGTCCTAAAACTATTCGTTTGCATCTTCATCAGCTAGGAAAGACGTGGAAGTTAAGCAAATGGGTCTCACATGAACTGATAAATGATAACAAATTAAGTCGTCTTACCATTTGTTCAGCAAACATTTCACGCAACGCTAATGAACCAGTTCTTAATCGGTTATTAACCTGCGGCGAAAAATGGATCTTGTATTCGAATTCTAAGCGTTCGTATCATTGGTTGTCGCCTACTTATTCGGTACCACACACGCCCAAGGCTTCCTTGCACCCAAACAAGGTTTTGTTGTGTATTTGGTGGACAGCAACTGGAATTGTCCATTATGAGTTTTTGGAAAGGAGTCAAACCATCACTGCTAACTTGTGTTGAGAGCAGCTTCAGCGAGTACAGACAGCAGCACTCATCCAAAAACAGCCTTCTTTGATCAGTCGGAAGAAAGTGATATTCTTGCAGGATAAATCCAAGCCTCATACCGCAAAAGTGACCCGAGAAAAAATTTCTAAACTCGGCTGGGAAACGTTACAGCACCCGCCATATACTCTCCCGACATTTCGCCCAGTGATTATCACCTTCTTTTGTCTCTTGACAACTGTATGAGGCACCCACAGTTCACAACTCGAGATGGTGTAATAAATGCAGTCCGCCAATTTTTTGACTCCAAAACCAGGGAGTTATACAATACCGGCATACAAAAATTGGTTGCACATTGACAAAAGGTCATTGAATGTGATGGTAATTACTTCGACGAATAAATAGTGTCTTATTGTTTCTCAATAAAAACTTATATTTTTTACTAAAAACCGCACGAACTTACGAGTATTTGGTTACCTGATATATTCATAATCACAAATAAACGACTATAATTTTCACTAAACATACACAGCTATATTTAAAAGTATATAGCTTTATTACATAGCACTTTTCTTCAGCTTTATATAAAATAGAGGTCAATTTATAGCAGGATACCCTGTACGTGTGGTACGAATCTCATCACTAACAGTGGCAGGTGATGTGACTTTTCCATTCTGGTACTTGACTATAGTTGGCTTCAGAAATTACATTCCTTTAAAGAAAATCTTAGTAGAAAAAGTTATTTAAAATCACCAAGCTTTACTGGTCACCAAATGGAACCACCGGTATTGGACTAAAAGTTTACTAACATTTCGACCACTTTGGCGGTCTTTGCAAACTACAAAAAACGGCAATGACAATCTTTGACGAATATTCAAAAAGAAGTGATCAAAGCGTTAGTAATCTTTCAATGCAATATATATCGTCGGTCATCTCACGAAGTGACGTATCTAACAAAATTTTCAAAATTGAGTTACGCCGGTAAACAAGTTGTCTGTGCACCCACTTTGATCTCACGAAGCAGCGTATCTGTAACTCTTTTACTTGATGGTATAAAAGCATTTGATTTTTTGGCGTATCTTACAAAATAAGCATTTGTTTTCACACGAAAAGTCGTATAGTAAGTTACGTCTGTTCGTGTGAAATTTATATGTAATTATCAATGCCGACAATAGCGGCGTATCTACTGTTAACCTGTCAGATATTGTTGAGTTGTGTCGTCTGTAACTCTGTAATTTAATTGTTTCAGTCAAGTAGATGCACGTGCAGTGGTATGTGGATTGCGAGGTTATGTCGTCTGTATTAACCGATTATTAGGTATATTTTTTTGAAGATTGTTTATAAGCGACCTAGTTAGTACCTAGTGTGTTGTAATCAGTTTGTTTATAGAGAGGTACGTAATAAAGGCATTTAACGTGGTACGCAAGTATTTTTAAGTTTCATATCATCAATTGTGTGTCGTTATCATGTACAAAATGTTATTAAGTATAGTTCTTATAAACAGTTAGTTGATGTCATTGCATATTTTTTCAGAAATCTTTACTATGAAACCACCCCTGTTGCAGGTGAGAACACGTAGCAGACATGGATGTCCTAGTGCTCTGTGAGGATGGTACCAAAAACGTGGTGAACGCTAGTGAACTTCATACGTGTAACTCGGAGACCATTGCAGTAGGAAGACGAGTTAAGATGTTTTTTAAAAAGAAGTGGTATTGGGGATGTGTCCTAGCTCTTGAAACCATAGAGGACAGCAGTAGCGACTCTGCAGACAATATTTCGCTAAATAAATTGAAGCCGGTATGGGGTGAGGACGATGAGGCTCCACTGTCTTCATTAGTTAAGAAGTTAATAACTCCTCAATCACACAGTCCATCGCCAACTTACGACTCAGACGCAGATCCGTCATGGGGATTGTGCGAGGTTGCCAATTGCAGGCGGGAAGTCTGGAGCGCCTGCCATCGATGCTTCATTTTACTTTGTTGGGAGCACATGTTGGAAGACTCAGATACTTGTTCCGAGCATGTTAAAAAAATAAATAGAAACTCAGAGCGACATGTTGAAGTTTCTCCGCTGACAGAAAGTCCACAACAATCACGTCCAGAATCATTTTTGGTTGAAGGTGCGAAAAAGGAAGGAAACGGTTCGGAAAAACCACCAATCATGAATACGTAGAAGCTTGCCAAAAAAATGAGAAATTTGGGTAAAGAATATGTTAGTCCATTTAAGAAGAAATCTGTTCCGGCTAGATCAATCAAAGAACGTTGTGATTCAAAAAAATGTATGAAGTTTGGCAAGCAATGTATTATGATAAATGAAGACGATAGAAAAATGATTTTCGAATATTATTATGAACTTGGTGATTTGACGCGGCAAAGGGAGTTTTTAATACGACACATGGAAGATAAAGCAATCAAAAGAAAAACTACGAATAAGGAGTCAAGAAGACAACAAAGTGTGGTATACACTTTAACATCATTATCTGGAGAACGAAAGGTTGTTTGTAAAAAAATATTTTTGAATACTCTATCGATTTCAGAGCGTACAGCTCGAACTGCTTTAAGCAAAGTGAAAGAGTGTGGAATCTTGGAAGCAGATAAAAGGGGAGGAAGGCAGAGAAAATATGATGAGAAAAAACGAGAGGAATTCATAAGAAAGGATATAAGTGAGCATATTGATAGATTCCCCAGAGTAGAATCTCATTATTGCCGTGCTAGCATTATCAAAATGTACTTACACCCAGATTTGAATTTAAGAAAAATGCATGCTATGTATTTAGATGAATTAGAGAAAGTTGGAAGAGTAGAAAAACCAAGTTTTCATACCTATAGAAGAGTATTTAAGGCCAAAAACTTATCTTTTCATTCACCAAAAAAAGATCAGTGTTCCCTTTGCGTGTCTTATAGGGAAGGCGACGATACCGTTAAACATAAATTAAAAGCTCGATACGATCTTCATATTGCCGAAAAGGTAAACGTTCGTTCACTGAAATGAAAAAAAAAAGCCAAACAAGATTCGTTCAGTGTCTGTGGTGTTTTTGACTTACAACAAGTGATTTATGTACCTATTTCTAACGAAAGTGCAGTTTTTTATAAAACTCGTTTAACTACATACAATTTTACGTTTTATAACGTAGCAACGAGAGAGTGCTTTTGTTTCGTGTGGCACGAAGCAGTCAGTAAGCGTGGCTCTTCGGAAATAGCAACCTGCATAGCACAAGTTTTGGAGCATTACAGTAAGAAAGGTGTTAGAAATTTTTATTTGTACGCAGACGGATGCTACGGCCAAAACAAGAATTCAATCGTCGCTTCCATGCTGCTCCATTCCATAAGCAAATTTCCCACTATAGAAGAAATCTCTTTACGTTTTTTTTGAAACGAACCATGGTCAGAGCGAAGGGGACTCCGCTCATAGTGCTATCAGCAGAGCTATTTCTAAAGCTGGTAATGTATTTTTGCCTTCTCAGCTATATCCAATAATAAGTCTGGCACGAATAAACAGCCCTTATAAGGTTGTTCCAATGAAGTTCAGCGACTTTAAAGATTATAAGTCGTTATCAAAAGATCTTAGAATCCTGAGTATTAGAACCAGCGAAAGTGGCAAGAACGTTAAGTGGACCGATGTAATGGAAGTGTTAGTTACACAAGCTTCCCCGCTAAAAATATTTTTCAAAAACAGCCAGAATACGACTGTATAGTTCTAAAACGTCTAAACATTGATCTCTCAAAATTAGAACTACCCCAACTGAACAAGGAACAACCAAAGACATCTGGTAAAAAATATAAAGACTTGGTTTCCTTGTGTCAAGGAGAAACTCCCGTAATTCGTTTACCGGAACATCAACAGTTTTTCATTACTCTTCCCCATAGTGACGAATTGGCATAACCTAGGATTGAACCCTTGTCAGTGTCTAATACTACTTTATTAGTAATAGCTCTTTTACTTCCAGTATAATCTAGCAAAAAATAATAAGGTGTATGTTTTCTAGATTACAACATAATCTTACTTTCTTCTCATGTGAATTTGATTTATTTGTTTTTCAATGTTTTAGTACTGTTTGTTTTATTTTATAATAGAACGCTATTTGATTTTTATCTAGCTATTTATTTTTTGTGCCTTCCCTATACATTTAGTTAAAGAGACGTATCTCCAAAAAGTCAAGATTTAGTTTCACACGAAGTGACGTATCTGCATTCAAACTTTTTTTTCTCAGAAGTGTGAATAGTTGTGGTCTCTTACGTGACAGGTATTCATAACTTGCATAGCACTAAATGACATATAAATAATCAGATCTAAAACTCAATCATATCAGGATTTAAAGCAATTCAAATATAAAGCAATTTCGTTTTTCGCCTCTCCTGAACAATTATCTAAATGTAAGATACGTCACTTCGTGAGATGACCGACGATATGGTTTAAGTTGGCGGCCAGCAAAATATGGAGATGTATCGAAACAACCACAGGATAAGTTTCGGATTAACATTAAATTATTTTACCACGATGCAAAACATTTCACATTCGAAGGGATTTGGTATTCTTCTACCCCTACTGAGCAGGGCCGTGGCAAATGCTTGTTCCGGAAGTTGTTGTATACAACTTGTTCCCGTTCAAATGATTGTACACGTCTTAAGGAATACCTCAGAACCGATTGCCGGGTGGCGGTACAAGTCCAATGCCTCGAGTACTAAGAATTCCGTAAACTCACTCCACTCTCGGGGGAGGGTGGACTCGAGGGAACAACATCGAAGATAAAATTTGTTCCACGAACATCTGCGGGATTAACAGCAACATTAAAGCTGTTCATCAATATCTGCAATCTAATCATCTCGCCATGCTTTTCTTGGCGGGGACAAAAATATCGGAGTCTATATCGATTAATCATTTAGCTTCCCAAATTACGAGGTGTGCTATAATCTGAGAAACAAGAGGGGAGTTTGTGCCTTTTGTCCGCAGCAGCCTTTCCCGCACCAGATAAGTTTCTTTGGGAATCAAACCGGAAGGACATCCTGTGGCTTCGCCTAAACTTCGAAACGTCCCCCAAATTTATTTGCTGCCATAATCGCTCTCCCTCGGACCATAACTGTACTTGATGACATCGCTGTCAAGATCGACTTCCTGACCGTCAATCACCACGCTTCAGAAGCATTTTTTCTCGATGATGTCAATGCCCATAATAAGCTTTGGTTGGGTTCAAACAAAACCGATAAAGCAGGTCGAAGGGTTCGCTATTATCCAAGGACTGACCCAGCAGATGACGAGCACTACTTTTCTCCCGCGTTTCGTCACACGCCAGGAGTCTGCTGAATCTCTTTCTTTCCACGCATATGTCCCTTACAGCATTGCTGTCCTGCCTTACCTGGGTAACCCAGACCTTTGGTGTTCCAGAGCTTATAGGTTTCGGCCAGACCCCGCTGTGGCAGCAGAGACTCGCACAGGCCACAAAATTTGGCATTACGGACATGCCGACTGGGAGGGACTCATAGACTTCTCCACTTTTCCTTGGAGATGTCTGTTTCGCTGACGCGGATGCGTCGACTGTCTGCATAGATAACCGAAATTATCCACGTTGTGATGGAGCAATACATCCCTCATACAGTGAAAGTGCCTAAACCAGGATCCTACGGCTGGTTCAACAAACCGTGCGACACGGTTCGTTAGCAAAAGAACAAATCACACAGAACCTTCTTACGAAACTCCACTGTATAGAACAGACAATCCGACGTCCAGACCAGAAACAAATAATACACCTATATAATGAAGCGGTCCGCAATGCCAACGATATAAAAATTAGGTACAGGGTAATGTCGCAGCGCAATGGTAATCGGTCTTTCTAGGTGCTGGCCAAGCAGATTGAAAGGAACTTCTCACAGAGTAGCCTCCCACCACTTACATGTCAGGATGGAACAATTGTAATCGACTCAAAGGCTAAGGCGGAAGTGATTTCCAAGATCTTTGCTGCCAACTCCACCATGAACGCCCAATGCCCGAGTGCCGTCGACGGATGCTCTTGTCGCTCGACATCAACAAAGCTTCTGATCCGGGCTTGATTTCTGTCGTTGTATTGATCAGGTTTGCAGCGGAGCTTGCTCCAGTTCTTTCGCGTCTCTTCCAAGTGTCCTTATGAATCCGGAACTTTCCCAGAAAACTGGAAATTCGCTCATGTCTAACCCATTCCCAAAAAAAGGATCTAAGACCAACTCTTACAGCTACAGTCCTACAGCTCTGCTTTCTGTGAGTAAGTAAGGTGATATAGAGGTGCGTATATCGCGAGCTTCTGAACTACCTCGAATGTCATGGCTTGATTAGCGACAGGCAATATGATCTTCGGCACCAGCAATCTACACGGAACCTCTTAAGTTACGTCACGCAATTGTGGAGTAAACTCATCCAGACTTATGGTGATGCTCATGTCGTTGTTCTTGATATCACGAAAGCATTCGATCAGCTGTGGCACGCTGTCCTCTTATGCAAACTTCCATCCTATGTACTCCTGGAGAAGCTTTGCAGATGGGTACCTGACTTTCTCTCTGGCCGTAAGATGTCCGTCGTAATTGACGGGTTCTCCTTTTCATTCCACAACGTCAACGGATAAGGTGTTCCCCAGGGATCGGTCTTGGCTCCGACACTGTTCCTCTTACATATATATTATATCAACAACCTCCTTTCCTATACGATCAACCCAATCCACAGCTTTGCTGATGACAGCACTCTACATGCAGGAATTCAGAGCGACAAGCAGATCTCTGCCGGTGAGTTGGAAAAAAACTTCCTCTCTGACGAGAGATCTGGAGATTATCACTACTTGGGGACGCAAAAATCTTGTAGGCTAGGCTATTTGTTTAGGGCTGAGAAGTACTTTTCTCCACATGACCTCCTCACTGTGTACAAGTCCCAGATAAGACCTAGCCGCCAGTATTGCTCACACGATACGACCGCTCCTTTGTCCCGAGGGTGTCGAAATTCTGGAACAATCTACAAGAGGAAGCTTTTCCCACTTCTACTGACCTTAGGCAGTTCAAAAATTGGATTAACAAAATTTCTTTAGGCATTTAGGCTTCGTAAAAAAAGAGCTTTCGGAATTTCATGTCATCATAATTAAGAATTAGCTTAACAAAATTAGAATAGATCTTCCTATTTTCTGAAATATTCGAAAGATTCGTCATCTAAGAGGAAGTGCGAAAACAGCATGTTTTGCTAAGTTGAAAACATCGAGCAAACAACACCTGTTGAAAAAAATTCCATGAGAGTTAAAATAACATTGAACTTGGTAAGTTATTCAAGCGCATTTTACTTATCATATTTTCTGATAGCTAAGAGATAACAAATGTATTGCTTATCTAGTGTAAACAAGCGGGGATGTTTGGAATGACTTAACATATATTTTACATGTACAGCCACTTCAAACAACATGTAGCTACTTCACTTTCGAGATTATAATCATTTTTTGCCTGTCAGATCAGGTATATGCGTCCTTTTTTTGTGAAATCGGTATAATTTTAATAAGTTTTTTAATCTTATCATTACAAATATCTATGTCAGCTATTTTAATTGACCTGTTTGTTCCATCAAAATGTCCTGGTGATTGGTTACTTCATGTTTTGTAGAATCTGCAAGATATTGTGTCGAGGTTCCTTACCAGTTTTTGAAGCAAAGTATTTAAAATGATTCGACCGTTTCCAGGATATTACACTATTCGTATTTTTCAGAATTATGTTTAAAATTTTGAAAAACTACATCATGCTCCTCTATCGGTCTGTCTCTTGTCCAGATTATCTTTCGTCTGTGCTGTATTTATGAACATCCTCATGCCTTTGTAACCATGTAATAGAATAGTACAAGTTTCACAATAACACCGAATAGGTCGTACAGCCTTTCATTTTTATTGGAGAAGCACCTTTAAAACTTCTCCAGAGTTTTACTTTGAAAGTTATCAGCTCATAAAGGTTTATGTTCTGAACAAACTAGACCCTCTGAGAAAAAAGTCAGTTAAACAGGTCCATAATTAGTCCATAGTAGTGCATCTGAAAACGTCGCCTCTGCCTGATACTTAACTAGGTAAGCAGTGGCAGCGCGGCCAAGTTTGTTTACCTTCAATTTTTTTCCAAAATTGTTCAGGTTCAGGATTATCTTCGTCTGTGCTGTATTTATGAACATCCTCATGCCTTTGTAACCATGTAATAGAATAGTACAAGTTTCACAATAACACCGAAGAGGTCGTACAGCCTTTCATTTTTGGACAAGCACCTTTAAAACTTCTCCAGAGTTTTACTTTGAAAGTTATCAGCTCATAAAGGTTTATGTTGTGCACAAACTAGACCCTCTGAGAAAAAAGTCAGTTAAACAGGTCCATAATTAGTCCATAGTAGTGCATCTGAAAACGTCGCCTCTGCCTGATACTTAACTAGGTAAGCAGTGGCAGCGCGGCCAAGTTTGTTTGCCTTCAATTTTTTTCCAAAATTGTTCAGGTTCCTCTGATATGTCAACAAACCAAGTTTGAGAGATTCTGATTTGTTTCATTTTAGGCCTTTTCCTTTGCCACCACTGGACCACATTTTCAAAAACTACAAAACTTTGCGTCCTTGGCATAGTAGTAACATAGTGTAAAAATTTCATCAAAATCCGAGCGGTACTTCTCAAGTTACAGGCGATTATAAAATTAGTCGTGAGAAGTAAAGAGACATGTTTTGAAAACACACA